CAACAAAGTTTCCATCTATTAACTCAAAATACGATTAAAGCTTTTAAATTTTGTGTGCAAGCCATTTTTAGTTTGATGGAAAAAAACACACACCCCTGGTTTACAAAATTAGAGTTTGAGAAATTTTTTTCATTATTCACATTATAAGTACCCAAAGAAGCCATATACATAAAAAACTGGATACTAATAGCTGTTCTGCAAAATTGAGAGCAATTTAAAATCTGTTCAGAGATATGAAAAACAAGTTTCACATTTTTTCTGTGTTGGTGTTGTGTACTCAGGTGAATATGATGTTTGTGGTGTTACTCTGAGTGTATATCCACACCGGGCGAGCTTGAAAAATATGCCCGGCCACGGTGGGAATCGAACCGACGACCTTTGGAATACTAGCCCAATGCTCTACCAACTGAGCTACGCGGCCAGGACGTGGGCTAGTATTCCAAAGGTCGTAGGTTCGATTCCCACCGTGGCCGGCCGTATTTTTCAAGCTCGCCTGGTGTGGATATACACTCAGAGTAACACCACAAACATCATAATCACCTGAGTACACAACACCAACACAGAAAAAATCATATTACAAGATTACACTGGTATAGAAGGAACTAGATTCTGTTCCGAAATATCACTTACTCGAACCGTCCTGACCGCGTAGCTCAGTTGGTAGAGCATTGGGCTAGTATTCCAAAGGTCGTAGGTTCGATTTCCACCGTGGCCGGACATATTTTTCAAGCTCACCCGGTGTGGATATACACTCAGAGTAACACCACAAACATCATAGTTTCACATTCTTTTTTCATATTCATGCAGTTCAGATTAATTGTATTTACCCATGTCTCTGATGAGATTTGTGATAAATTTATCAACGGGAAATAAAACAGAAATATTTTATATAAGAATGATATATCTATATAGTACTGTATAGACTATACGCCAGAGACAAAGAAGGCTACTTGCTGTCATGCAGACATGTCAATTGATACTTGTACTTTGTTCTTTTACCAGTGTTCTCATCCCACTGATTAAACAGCAAATTAAAATATACTTGTATCATAACGGCGTAGTTTCTCTCATTTCACATGTTTCCCACAGCCCGCCATCAGAAACAAACACAAACACATATTTCATCTGGTCGATTTGCATTTCAAAACCGTGTCAAATAACTGGCATGCAAATTGCGAAAATATAACACTTGCTTCACTGTACGTGACAATAATATTGTAGTAGCTACTTCTCCGTTAATACTAAAAAAACATGTCTTCATTTCGGACAAGGCCTTTATTTTCGTTGTCATCGGTTATTAATGGATCATTAAAGTTGATACAGGCTTTTTGCCTGTTTTGTTATAGAGTAATTAAAATTATTTCACTTCCTCAAAGGGAAAGCATTCATTCATGAATCTTTAAATTAAAACATGTGTATCTGTGTTTTACTGCTTCATTGACATTGGCGTTTCAACTCTGCCAGCATCGACAAGCTGTTACAGTTTCTATTAGAAAGGTTTGTTTATAAATTATTTGGCTTTGGTACATTGAAAGAATTACCGTGATTCATGCCATTTTCGAATTTCGACGCTTTGCTAAGCCTAAGGTGAAATCTGTGAATAATTTATGTACCGACAGTGCATAAATCTACTGATAAAGCGTAAAAGCATACAGCGTCTTAAAACCATATCTTGTGCCTCAATTGTTTAGAAAAAACAAGGTAAGACTTCCATATGCCGACATGTATGTTGAATAACTAGCCTTTATGTTTTTTGCTGCCAAGAAATTTTTGCTCATAAGCGATTTATCGAGCGTGATTCGCGAAGCGCGTTTCGCGATTACGCTAAAGCAGTAAACAAATTATTTGAGTGAGTCATTACGTGTAACGAGCGAGAGCTCGCAAGAGCGCCCCTCGCAAGGTTTTGTGTCGCATTTCTTGCTCGAACATTCTCGAAACTCGCTCAAAAAAACTGTATAACCATAACTACCAGTATAGTGTTAAACAGTGAATCAGACAAGAATCATTAAGAACCAGACATTACAAGTTTGACCTTTCACGCTAGAAAAGCAGTTCACTTCTGGACCAATAGGATTACAGAATTACGCAGTGTTGTTTTAGTCTTGAAAAGGTTTCATGCATGGACCAATCAAATTAAAATATCAAGAACTGATTTCCGTTTTTAGCCAATCACCTAGGTTGTTTCAAATAAGGCTGTCAACAGCTTGTAATTTTCACCTGTCAATACTGTTTCCTCCCATATGGCATGCCTTTATATGTCTGTTGTCTGGTGTTTTATTTAATTGAGTAGCAAGAAATATGAACCCTTGGTGTAATAACCAAAAGAGTATTAATCTTATAGCAAATTGATCCATTAAATTGAGTTGTGGCCTAAACTGCCAAGTGCTTACCCTCAGATAAATAAAGCCTTTCATTCAATTGGAAGACATACTATTTCATATATTCATTATTTCCATTTCATCACATATATATACAAGATATACAAGAGATTTGAATAATAATGTGCGCTTTTTGCATGGCACGCTTTTTGGCGCGAAGTGCATGTGCGGCGCTCATTTAATATAGCAAAGTTTTACCAATTACTAGATATATAATGCGTGTCTGTACCTTATAACCAGCGATATGAACAATTAAGACCAGGACCAAACAGCTAAATTCACCAACCAGAGAAATTCACCAACCAGAGAAATTCACTAGGGTGACCATTCAGACCAAATACATAAAGTAGGCTACTGTAAAGTCACAGATAGCGACATGGTACACACGCAATGTAAGTGTAGAATATCGTTTTCCACATTATTAATGCTTTAACATACAAATCCCGTGGATATGAAGTTCATTGTAGAAACTATTTTAAATATTATTCATTTTGTCTGCGATCTGTACATGGTCACAGGTTCACTACAATGACGAGTGTCGAGAAATCCAATTTATCATTTAATAGTCAAATCAACACGAAACACCAAAATCTTTTCATGCCCTCGCCAATAGGCTGTTTAAAAAGATGGAATACAGTTCGTAATCTGACCAATAAGATTCTTATGTTGAATATTAATATACTGCGACGCAGCACTTAATAACCTGTTATATTAATTTTCATGAACAGGTTTCATTCGCAGACCAATCAAATATGCTCTGTGTTTACTGCCAAGAACTGGTTTCGTGTTTAACCAATCACGTTCGTATTGTTCATTCGGTAGTGATTGGGCCTCATATCATGTTGCAATGAGACCAACTGCGTGTTTATTCAACATCCTGTGTTATAAATCTTGAAGGGTTTGTGCCAAGTTTATGATGTTAATAATACGGTTGCATCACTTGCATGCCATGAATGGCTGAATCTGAATAATCAGAATCTACATTGAATTGTAACAATAATCAACATAATGCCAACGCAAAAGGTTTCATGTGTGGACCAATCAAGTATTTTACACACTCAAGAACTCTTTTCCGTTTACTTAATCACGCGCGGTATTGTTTAATTGGGAATTGATGAAACACCGAACATTTTGTCATTCCGTCGCCAATAGGCAATTTTAAAAGATAGAATACAGTTCTGAATCTGAAGAATCAGATTCTGTACTGAATTTTATTATTTTAATATACTGCGACGCAGCACTCAGTAACCTGCTATATTGATCTTGAAAAGGTTTCATCCGCGTGAACCAACCAAGCCGACAGTTTGTTGCTGCCGATGGTTGAAAGGACATTGCTGAAGTGATGTATAATTTTAAATTTTGTCTCTTAGCTTTGTGAAATTTCTTAAACGCAGAGCTATGTTCACTATTCTGTCGCAAGCAAGTGGGAATGAATGATCCTTGTGTTCAAAATTAGCTCGTAATTTTGCGCGCTGTACACATTCGGTGTTGATTGGTTTAAAATAGAAACCATTTCAACAATTTTCATTGTGATTGGCTGGCCGCTGAACTCGTTTCGCAAAATCGCGATATGCATGCATAAATTATATGAAATTTGAGACCACATACACACTCGTGACAGTGATATCAGTAGAATTGCCACAATTCGGCTTTACACAATTCGCAAGTGAGCGACTAAGTGCCAGAAGAGGCAAGCGAGCGACGAAAATTTTTCTCCTCCTCTGCCTCTCTGTTCCCCTTCTAAACCCGCAAAGTCTAGTGATATACAGTATATATGCGGTTATTGGTTTCGGTGTTCGGTCTTATGCTCGGTCCAGGGCCGTAGCGAGGGGGTGGGGTGGTTAACCCCCAACTTTTTTAGAATTAACATATTGGAAAATTGGGTTGGCCACTCAGAAAATTGCGGCAATAATAGTCGGTATAACGAAGTTTTAGTTGTTAAACGAGAAAATATTATAGAATTGTATTGTCAGCATAAACTGATTTACGAAATCATGGCATTTACATTGATAACAAGTTACAAATCGTAAATCGGTAAATGTTTTTCGGTTTATTACTTCTGATAATTTTATTGTTATCTTTAATATTTATAATTTATTGCGTCTTCATTTTCCTGACAGCAAACACCTTCATAGCCTACGGTGTCTGCTGGGGTCTACACCAGGGCGCTTATATATATATATAAGCGCCCTGGTCTACACCGTAGGCTAACACCTTCGCGGCTTTGTATGCCGTATCCCTCCCCCCCCCCACCGATTATACATGCTAGCTACAGCCCTGGCTCAGTCTTACGTAATAACTATGAGCTCTACATAGATATGTCGATGATATAAACATGGATTGTGTATTTGTATGATAGTGACCTATTTGGTTTTTAATTTGTAATCGGCATGCAAAGTTGAGAAGAATGACTTCTACCTACTCGAATCTAAAAGTGTAATCTTTAGATCTCATCATTTCCGGCCTCTATCCTCGACCTCAAAACTCGCAAGCGGAAACGGAGACGGATTGACGTGATTGCAGAGGATAAGGCCCTGATATATATGCCAAAGGGACTTTGCCTCAAAATCAGTTCGTAATATCCCTATGCTACAAGTATATAAATTCAGCAGCGTAGCCAGCCCGACGATTTATGCATGAATCAATGTTAAGCCCGAGGGGGGGGGGAGGCCGGGCAGAGGGTGGGGGATTTGACTTTTTCAAAAATATATGTTCAAAATCCCCACCGTGGGGCAGAAATATGTGATAAAATACAAGCAAATGACCCCTCCTCACAAGACATTATGTGTTCAAATGCAGGCAAATGCCCCCTTCTATATTTAACAATTATTCGCCAAATGCGACATTTTTTCGCTGCTATTCATCGAAACGGAATAGTTTAGCACATTCATCGAAACTGAATTGTCTAGCTCTAGCACAATTACATAGCTATTATTTAATAAAAAATGCGTGCTTCAAAATTTGAAAATGCACAAAACGTACTGCTTGCTGCCATTTTAACAAATTGCATAAGGTAATTTACGTGTCATGATTATCTCATGTGTAGTATAAACCAGTGCGGAGAATCCAGGAAACACAAATTACAAGTAATTTAATATTATAACATATTTTAATGAAGATATACCAATCTGAAGTTAACCAAAAATATGAAAATCCAAGCTAAACATTTATGCAACTATTGCAGAACCAAACATCAGGAGTCTTTTCAAGTTCGATACAGCAGGTATGATACCACAATGCACATGAGTCACAAGCTACCCACTCAAAGTTTTCATCGACGACATTAGGCGGATTGAATGAGTAACATAAGTTACAAATTTCGTCATCATCGGAGTCTCTCAATACTTCTCGGTCAGTTGTTTTCTTTCTTAGTTCCTTATTTCTTGCTTTTGCCTTTCTTGTTGCTGCTGCCTTTTTGGCTCCTTTTTTGCGATTGGTCTCTACTATTTGAAGATGCTGAAACCACATCCGGATATCTTCAGGTTTTAATAAAACTTTCTTCGCTGTGGCACTGATGACTTCGTCTGTGGGAAAACCAACAGAATCTTTAAAGACTTGAGCGAGGACTTGTGATGGTGGTACTACATCTGATAGGTGTTTTCCACTTTGAAAAATACTCAGTAATTTGCAAGGCTTCAAGTAATGTCCTGCGCAAATTCCAATACATTCTTTACAACTTGCGTTTCCATAAGGCCGATCAGGGTCTGGAGTTGGTGATGGAAAATAATCTAGTGGTGGACCACCAGGATACCAAACATCATTGTTCTTGTCATAAGTCCCAGTTTTGCATGCAGGATGTATACAGTCACGCTGATAACAGCACTTTAAATAAAAAACATACTGAATCGGTAATCCTTGAACAATGTGTCTAGTTCTTAGTTGCCATATTCTCTCAATTTCGTTGTATAAATCAGGTTCCTTTAATTTAGCATATTTTCTTTCGCTTCCTTTTTACCTTTTAAGAACATCAGCAGGATTTCTCGTTCTTTCTGGGCATCTTCACCTTTGGCACCCTTCATTAGATGTATCTCTGTTCGAGCACATGGGGATTTGTCTACGCGCGAAACGTAAACATCAATCGCTGCATCCAGATTCTCGCAAAGAATCTCTTCATTTACTTTTCCAGAATCCATGCATGAGCCATTTAACGTGGAAGGAATGAAAAGGTTTGCATGCCCCAATGCCAAGCAACCATTTTGAAGTTCAACCCTATTTTTGAAACTGGAACCACTGCTTCTTGTTGAAACCATAGTTGCCCTCATGCCTTTTATGAAGTGTCGCTTTGTCCACCAATACTGGACTTCTTCGTGTACTGGACCTTCATCTGATCCGCCATCAACTCTGACACATTCTATTTCCTTGTCTTGGCCTGTCTGGTAATTTGTGAAGACCGGCTTTATTTCCTCTTTCTCTTGGAGTTTGAGCATATCTGCGAAATGCTGTGCAGGGTTTTTGTTGAACAACGGTTTGGCTTTTACAACACCAGCACATACTTCACCAGTGGTACATGTAGCAGGGAAGTTGTAACACGTTGTTTGTAAAACCGATGGGTAAGGGTTAACGTAATCAGTCCTGGTTGTAAGCGGAAGATTATCCTTTAGGCAAAGAGTTCCATGTTGCTTGCTTATCATCATGGTATCTAAGCGAAATCCGGCTTGGTCATCACATCCAGCATTCATGATACGTTTGCCATCTTGGTACTGGATGTCATCCAAACCTTTATAGAGTGCAGCACTCCAGTGATCATCTGGGTTATACCTCAGTGTAAAACCCTTCCTGGCATGTCTTTGCGTAACTTGGGCAAGTCCTTTGTATCGTGCAGCAGATTGCCGGCGCTTGTTTCTTGGAACACATAATTGAACTACCGTACCATAACCAAATTTTCGCTTGTACTTGGCTTGCAGATGAGCTTGAATACTACGAAATGTTACTTTTTTTCCTACACGCCTGTTGCCATCAAAGGTTAGCACTCCAGTTCTGCGCCACAAATCGGCACCCACGCCCCTCTTGCGCACAAACTCTTCAATCGTATGTCCTATATCAGGACATTCTGCTTATTTTCCCTATCTTTTTACTTCTTCTTTTCCGTAATAATCGCCTCTCTGCAATGCGCTTCTTTATTTCTCTCTTAGCTTTACGTTGAATTGAAGCTCTCTTTTTTATTATGACTGCCTTGCCTATCTCATCCAATGAATCTTGCACACGACACAGTTTATCGGGATCTTCAGAATCTGATTCTGACAGAACTAGTCCATTATCAACATTATCTTCTTTTTCCTTTTGACGACTTTGAATTGTATATGCTTCTATTGATTGATTTATTAAATGCTGGTCGTCTTCATTTACATCTAGGTTTGGCAGCTTTTGGGCAAAACAATCGAGCATGCTTTTGATTTCATCAAGCGATTTATTATGCAGAATATTACTTATAATATGAACAAATTCAATCCAATTGAAGTCACAGCTGCGGAGAATGTCAATAAGTTGTTGATCGTTTAAGCGACTACTCATCTTGTCTTCCTCTGCAGGCACTCCACTATTGCTTGATGTCTCAGTCTTATGATCAGTTTTACTGGTTACTTTGTCTTCGTCGGAGTAGTCACTGTCAGTTTCACTGCTGTCAGAGCTACTACTTTCGGTTGCGCTGGCATAAACACCAAGAGAACGGGCAATTGCTTCGTCTTTAACTTTCGCTATATTCTCAATAGCTTCGCGGATACAAGTAGCTTCATCAAGGGCATTTTCAACCCGGCTAACTTTGGATGACATGTCATTGAAACCGTATATGTTTTTTGCCTTTGAACTCGACAAACCAGCTGCTCTTACAATCGCATATTTTAGACGCTGTTTTTCTGCATCGGACTCGGCAAGTTTTAACAAACTATTCACTGTTTCTCTGCTTATGTTAACTGGTGTCTGTGCACTTTGAGACTGAATCAAACTGTTGAGAAGCGACCTTAAAACTCTGTACTGTATAGTGGATTGTTTCTCAACTAAATATATACAATAATTGCCCTTTTCTCTATATCCAACACCAATACTAACTAGTGGCATTTGAAGTGACTTTCTCCGTGCATGCAAGGAGGTGTAACTGACACCTGGGCTTGTCATTGTAAACACATCTTTTAATTTCAGGAATCCTTCATCAAGTATCTTTCGAGCAACGTCAATCATACTTAAACACAACTGGCACGGCTGGCTATGCCGTGCCTTGCAAACATAACTACGAGCGTTAACATAGTCACTTAAATTAAGTCCTTCAAAGATAGAAATATGAGTGTCATTTTCTAAAGTTTCAAATCTTGACAATGGGCGCTTTGATTGTTCAATAAATGTATTTATATTGTCTGACCCCCCTCCACTGGACCTGCTGTTATACTGGAAGGGGTTTGTGGAAAATGTGGCATTTCTTCATTGCTCCGTTCTTCATTGCCTGGCTCTTCACTGCCGGACGGTTCAGGATCTAAGGACGATTCAATTTCCTCGCCTACATCAGATATGATGATTGTGTCGTCAGACTGATGGTCACTGCTGCATGTACTGGAACTGGACGATTTCTTCTTCAATAAAGATGGCAGACTTTGCTGGTTGTTTTGGCGTTGCTTTCCCTTACTTTCTCCATGAACTTTTTTTGTCTTTTTGGATCCCCTCTTGTGGTACCATGACGACTTTGCCTCTTTTTTAACAAGTGCTGTCAATTGCTGGTCAACTGAAGCCCGTTCCTTTCGTATCTCTATCATCTCCTTACATATCATATCACACTGCTTGAAGTTACTAATACAACGTTCTTTTTCCAATTGCTGTTGTTTAAAACTCAAACGACTGCTTAACGTTTTCAGGTTTTCTTGCATTAACGTGATTTGACGCGACCTTTCTTCCGAATGCAACTTAGCCCTCTTAACAGGTGGATTCTCAGGCAAGTCATCACTCTTGCTCCTGGACTTTCCTTTGGCAAAGGGGTAATCAACTTTAACTTTTTCCTTGGCTTTATTCATCAGTTCACCTTGAACAAACACAAGAGGGCCAAGCAAAATCATTTAATATATACTGCAAAAACATTATGAAAAGCATCGAAAACAATGGAACAAAATTTTAAATCCTTCAAAATCTCATTCTATAAGTGACAAGGAAACGAAGTTGTGTTCTAAAACATTTAAGCATTTATTTTCTAATTAACCTTGCATCATTCTGTAATTCTGTTTACTATAATATAGGTTCAAGAGGTACATGTAACAGGCTTATTCATATCATATTCATGTTTATATGAAGGTAGTATGACAATTATATTGTTCATAACATGTACAGTGTATCTGAAACAGAATATGACTGTCATGTGACTGTCATAATTTTTATGATTTAGAATTAACTTTGAAATTTACATAAATAAATTCAGACTTGCCTTGTTTGCATTTAAATAGATCTTATGGCATGCACAATGACGGTTCCTTAAATTAAAGTGTGTGATCCCTACTACCAGAAAGTTTACAAGGTTCTTAATTGAAAAAGTCAGCAAATATTCGCAAAACGTTCTGGTAGTAGGGATCACACACTGCAAGAAAACTTCATTATGCATAAGATCTATTTGACAAGTAAAATCACTTAAAATCAAATTTAGCTAATTGATTTAAGGGAACAAACAAGTTTTTTTAAATAGTTTTATTTATAGAAAGTTAATTACCTCTATTAAGAACAAGCACCGGTTCCTCCATGGCAAGTTTGCATGCCTCATCATTTACAGCTTCTTGCCATTTTGTCATTTTCTTATCATTTGACCCCCGGCCAAATATTTTTGATTTTTCTTTAATTATTTTTTCTATTGGCGCTGTAAATGTGTTTGGTTCATCCTGCAAAATTAAGTTCATTTAATCAAGACATTTTCCAATCATAATGGATTTATAGCTTAGGTGTGAAACACAAAGTATCGAATTAACAAAAAAACTAAAAATCAACAGATTACATACAGTTATTGGGGGTACCAAGAGTCAAATTTGATGTCAGGGTATACTGAGTTGCCCTTTTTGTTATAGCTTCTTTCTGTTGCAATGGATCAGCTGTAACCATACCTAAAATATTTATTAAGCATAGTGACATAGAATGCTATAAAACAACCATATACAAAGTCAAAACACTTTAATAAAGTGCAAACAGTAAACAACAACAAAACTGTATATAAACATTCATGTTTATACAATAATCTATGACTTATGTTCTATACTAAATACCTTTTTGACTGCTCCAATGCTCATTTGTTGACAGCAACATTAAGACTGTGTTTGCTTGAACAAAAGGGAGGTAATCTTCATCAACCTCCGCACCGTCTTCCTCCAGAACTAGTTTTACATCATTTGTGGGCTTCAAACCCAGTTTTTCAATTCCTAAATTTTTAAATGGTTGGTTTTTAATAGCTACAGTAGTACTGGTGAACCCATGGCCATGCATGTTACTTTTGTTTGCACCAATGATGCAGCAATTTGTGAGTGTAAGCAGAGTTTTATATTGGTGACTCTTTGCTAATTCTTCAATTTCTATAACTATATGGACTGATATTTGCTGCGTTGGTGTAATGTACTCAGGTGAATAAGATGTTTGTGTGATGTTACTCTTAGTGAATATCCACACCGGGCAGGCTTGAAAAATATGCCTGGCCATGGTGGGAATCAAACCTACGACCTTTGGAATACTAGCCCAATGCTCTGTCAACTGAGCTACGAGGTCAGGTCGGTTCGAGAATGCGATATTTCGGAACTGAGTCTAGTTCCTTCGATATCAGTGTAATCTAATAATATCATGATATAGGTGAATAAGATGTTTGTGTGATGTTACCTCTGAGTGTATATCCACACCAGGCAGGCTTGAAAACTGTCATTCCAATTGAAGTGTCCTCAAATATTGATTCAATACATTACCTCGAGCTGACCAATTCATTTGATCAAGTTCCTCAAATATTCATACACTTCCTGGTATAATTATTGTACACTTCCTGTTGAATAGTTTGAATGCACCAATCACCTTTATTGTTTGTGCAACTAATCAATCATATATAGAAAGGAAGTGATCAGGAATGATCAAATTCTTGGAATTGGCTCTTTCACAGGAAGTGTATGAATATCTCGAGGAACTTGATGAAATGAATTGGTCAGCCTGATGTAATGTATTTAATCAATATTTGAGGAACACTTCAATTGAAACGACAGTAATACGGGGATGGATTTATTGGGAGTGGTGACCAGAGCAGGTGAAGGAGGCGAGCAAATTTCCTTATTGGGGGCCTATTGGGCTATTACATTAAAAAACCAAACCCCCCCCTGTCGAGGACCTCTGCTTTTGGGGACTTTTACCCCTCTGGAATGCAAAAAAAATCTGTGTAATTGACCCCTTTGGAAGAGACCCCCTCTGGAAGTGCATTTTTTGCTTTTTAGCCCCTCTGGAAAGAGCATTTTTCTTCCATTTTCCCAATTACCCCTCTGGAAAAAATGACTAGTTTCCCCCTTGGAAAATGAGGTCCTCGACAGGGGGGGTACGGATATTAAATGTAATAGCCCATTTGGCTGATTTAGGCAATTCTATTTTTCAAAAGAAATGAAAGATATAATTTAAAAACGCTTAGTGTTATAAACTTGATAAAACGAGGCTTAGAAATATAATATATGGGGAGCTTCCTTATATTAAATACTTAATATGTAAATTATTTAAATTTTCGAAAATTATATATAAAAATACATTCCCCAAAATATACCTTTACTTGTCAGATTTTCGAAATTAGTTGCCACAACGGTCACTTTTCGGGATCGATTTACATTCCATACTTTAAATGGCTTTAGCTATGAAAATAATGTGTATTAATATAATAGTATTTCTCAATTTCACTGTGAAAAAATGAATAATTCATTACCTCAAATTGTTCTGCCATTTTTCTGTAAAGAACCTAGCAAAAACCTCGAAGACCGTAAAATATACCACAATTCATTGCGTTGTGAATATTTGGTAACCAGGCCTGTTCGCCAAAAATAGTCAAATGTCCCCTGTCCTTCACACATATCATCAAATGTCCCCTATCTCGGGCTGTCGCCCGCGAGAAAAAGCCCAACCCTGGGGATGACACTTGTTGTCAAATCCCCTACTGTTGCCCGGCCTCCCCCCCCTCGGGCTTAACATTGATTCGTGCATTAGTCCCGCTATGCAAATATTTTCGTGTTCATTGACTGTGAAAACAATCAATTTCTAAAGAAATGAATGATATCAGATAATAATTTTGAATTTGCATAGCGGGACTAAATTGTCGGGATGGCTACGTCACAGTAAATTCTAACCGCCACAAATAGCTCAATATTAATTCAGGTCTATCTATTTCGTCAAAATTAACAAACGCATTAGAAAAGGTTTTGCTTCGATTAACCTGACCAAAGAATATACGGATGGACAAGAACATTTATTGATCAAACTGATATGTTAATTGAAGCGTGTGAATGATGAAGTTGATCTGGGAATCACAGTGACCAGTAACCTTTCATGGACTACCCATATCAATAATATAAAAGTCAAGGCGAACAGGTTGCTGGGTTTGCTTAGAAGAACATGCCCCTTGCTAACAGACCGCAGTATCCGGCGCACTCTGTATCTTTCGCTTGTCAAGTCACAATTATGTTATGCCACAGAGGTTTGGTCTCCCTCTCAATATAATAACAAATTAATTCTGGAGCAAGTCCAAAAGCGTGCAACAAGATGGATCCTTCAATCGAAGAAAGGTGCATGACTTACAAGGACAGATTGCTTGCTCTGAATCTTTTACCACTGGCGTTCGACAGGGAAATTAAGGATTTGACATTTATGTTTAAAACTTTGCATGGTTTTTATGATTTGGATGTTTTCGATTTTGTGTCATTTGTTAACTCATTAACTGGCAAGCTGTTACAATGTTACCACCCCCTAAAGTGACAAGCAATATGGCGAATTCATGATTGAATTCCAAGCTTTCACCAAAATGGAAATATCTCAGAAACAATTGCATAAAAAAGTCTGATCTTTTCAACCAAACATGAATGATATATGATTGACCAAATTTAGTTTAGATGACATTGCATACCTATATATATCATTAGTTTTTTCAGTCAGTATTTTTATTTATAAAGCAGTGACACTTTGTTTTTCATGTCACTCATCACCTAAAGGGGCAATATCTCCATAAATGTATATAAAAACCAAAAAAAAAATCATTTACTAAATTAATACATAGCTATATTACAACCAATTTTCATCTTTTGGGATATGAATTATGAAATTATCAAAAAATTTAAAAATTACTTCTTTGCTTTTTTGGGGCATCTTGTTTACAACATGAAATTTAGAACAGTAACTAAGTGTTCAAGTTCAACAAAGTGTGCAAGCCAAAACACAGTGTTTGTACATTTTTAAAATTTTTTGATTGCTTCAAATATATTTAAAAAGACACATAGTGCTTAAATTTATTTATTTTAATATAAACCAAGGATGGGAAGGTGAGAAAATGGGAATTTTCTGAGGTGTTTTTAACACAGACAATGACAGCCGACATTTTGAAAGGCACTCTGTGGTGACAAAACTAAAAGCTATTCACTTCTGTACTCAAAGCACTGAAAAGCATCATAAAGAGAAAAACACTTTTAACACATGTCAGGTAATACTTTTAGCTCAATATTTTCATGCTTCTATTGGGAAAGCAATGGTTTAAAAGCCAAAATTATTTTGCGCGCCAATGTAGGCTGCTATAAAATGTCAGACAGGCAGTTTCTTTTAAAGTCTGGCTCTGAAAAACAATCTCTTTTTTTGAGTTTGAAATAAGCTTCCATAAGGACTAATTGTGTAGAAATGTTATCTATATCCTCACATGAAAAAGATAACCTAATATTCAGGTATTCCACATAGCTATAAAAGGGTGAAATAAGAACTTTCATCTTTGGTTGTTTGTCAGACGTGAGAAACCACATTAGTGCCATTTTGTCGCGCGTGCTATTTTATAAAATAAACACCTCAAAACCATAAACTTTTAGTTCAGAGTTTCCCATAGACATTATTAGAAATGTTCTAGTGAAGCGATTTCATGATAAATAAGTGAGCAATGGGCCCAAAAGAACTTCTAAGGTTAGTTTTTGTTAGGACTTCAATTTCATGGCTTCCCACAAAGGAAGCCATTTCAGAGAGAAGCGACATTTTGCGAACAACCGTCACGACCTATTTAATAACTTTTCCTTCTGATTCAACGTGTAGTTACTAGAAAATGATGTTGCATCAACATTATTATCTGCTTTATCGATTTAAAGTTTTATAGGGGATATAAAAAACAGTAAAAATGCATTTTGAAAGCTTTACAACTCAAGTGCGGACTTTTTTAATATTTGCACGCGGCAAGCAAGCGCGTTTATTCAATACACTTACTTTAAACCACAATACGTCTGAAACGAGTTGTCATTTTAACACTAAATTGATAAAAATAGATATAACAGTGATTTTGGAATATCCTACTTATTTAGTGTAATTTAATACTCGAAGTATTCTTGCCAAAAAGGTCAAAAAGATCACGTACGCACACAGTAAGTGTCGTTTGAAATATACTTTAGCGAAAATAACAACTTGAACAAGAAGACCAACAATGGGGTCACAAAAACAGTCAAAGTTGCGCCCAAATTTGCATAAACAGTTCGTCTAAAAAGATAACTTTAAACTAGATTCAATCAACATTAATGCGGTCGAATTTTGTGAGTGTTTGATCGCATATTTCTACTCAAAAATACCCTTTAAAAAATTGTATCTGCTCACTTGAGTTCCGTGTTCATCTTTCTTGTGATTTCCGACTTCTATTTTTAATAAAGTTTGGAGAAATCCTCATCTTTTTGGCTGAAAATCTCGCGCATGGTTCACAGAAGAACTTGGCCCAAAACGTCAATACATTCGCTTTCCTTTCATGCCAAATTTTCGTTGTAAATCATTCAAAAACGTCTTCTTTTTTCCTCTTTTAAAACTTGCTGTGAAATCCTTCTTTGCAACAATATCGCCATTATTCATTATTTTTGAAAAACTAAGGTTTTAAACTTGAAAAACTTTGTGAGTTTTTGGCTGATTTTCTTGCATGATACACCATTGAAAAGCTCGAATTTCGCGTTCTATTTTCGTATCCGTTGCTAGGCAACCCGATAAACACATGCTCAAATATCATGCCCGCGAGTTGAGGTGTCATTTGAGGGCATATGCGGGCGCATTGCCAATTACCCACTTGCCCACTTGCCAATCTCAGGGCGCATCCGGGCGCATTGCCAGTTAATGAGTTAATCATAGTCGTACCCGTAATTGTAATAACCCTTCTCTAGTGCTTAAAGTTCCGTCATGTAAAGGTAGCACTTTTCAGTCATCGTTCTTTAACCATATTGTTCCACTCTGGAATGATACTTGCAAAATTGCTTCTCCTGGAGATCTTCGCAGTTTGGCAACGTTTAAATCCTTCTTATCAAGAACATACTTCAATTTATTAAGTAGTAGTTTTGATGTTGACATGTGCTGTACATGGTCTTTGTATCGTAGCTGTTCATGCCATAGAAATAGTTAATTCTGATGTAAACATATACCAGCTCCTCGTGTCAGGTTTTGTTTTATCCTGATTCAGCTTTCAAATTTTTAACATGATTATACAAATCTGTATTATACACATGATAACTTGAATGTGGTGCAATAGCCGTCCTAATTTGATATTAATCAGCTGGTATATGCTTACCAATTTATAATATTAAGGTAAATAATGATATTAGATGTAAACTATATTCAAAAGGAAGAGTGCCTTGCATGGGTCTCGAGTCCCGTTCGCACTCTTGCCGTTTGAACATTGTTCAATAAAGCTGTTAAAACGTAAATGTTGTGTTTAAATATGACATTACACGATATAAAACAGACCCCGTGCGCTAATATTAACCCCAATGACCCTTGCACAAGCTGTGGTTATATAAACAATGACATTCGCATATTCGGTTCTATATGCGTTGGAAATGACTTTCAACCAGATAAAACATATTAAAATAAAGACTTCACTAATTACTAAGAATTTATCCACATATCTATACAGTGTGAACACTGAACATATATCTTGTGCGTTAATATGCACTTAGCCTGTGGTCTATAGACGGTTCGTATTTCAAGGATAAAATGAAACGTGCAGCGGGTCACTGCGGACACAAAACCCACAGAGGATCGCGTTTATAATACAATGGAAACTCCGAAGAACTACATATTTTTAATTCAACGTTTCGACTACTGTTGAGTCATCATCAGGAAAAAAATTCCTAATGATGACTCAACAGTAGTCGAAACGTTGAATTAAAAATATGAAGTTTGGAATTTCCATTGTATTGTATTTTATTAGAATACTCGGTGATTTAATACCACTATGTGAGCGACCGTAAATGCGATATTTACGGTTAGCTACGCATGTGCGGCTACCCACAAAAATTAATGATTTAACATGACGTTGATAAGATAAGAAAGATTTAACCGCACTTATAGGCTTATCAGTTTCATGAGTTTGTGTTGAAAAGTATAGTTTTGGTATTTCCGTATTAAATAGAGACTCTCGAGACTGTCTAAGGACTTTATCTAGCCTGTGCGTAGGGTAGACGTTATCATTCTCAGTATTGAAATTTGTGTTGTAACAGTATAAGATGCTTCACACCAGGGGGGGATTGAATATAGAAACTACAATCGATGTTTGCAATAAAGTCACAAATCACATTGCACTATTTTTGTAATAGTTAACACAATTCAGCCATTGGGCTGCAAAGTTAATTTTAATAAAACTATCTATCTATCTATCTACCTGTACTAAGGCACGAAATGCTCTACCAAAATCTTGATATTGTGTCATAAAACATGAACAGATTTAATTGACCACTTGCGTCAATACCCCTTGGGGCTGTCAATTTCCCGTTTGTAATCTAAAATAACTGAAAATTGCAAACTTTGCAAGGCTATATTATCCGCATTTTACAACATTTTGCAACAAAACTTTGGAATATTTGTCTAAACTTGTGTAGATCAAAATTTAGTCTATTACGCAAGTGGTCAATTGGATATAAAAAATAGCAAGGCTTATGTTTTGCCACAGTGGTTTTACACATATACTAAGGGACAAGTCATTATTTCCGGGCAGGAGGCCGGAGGAAATTTTTATGAATAGCAAAAATTTTCCATGACCCCTTTTTTTCTAGCAAAATTATTTTATCCCCCTCCCCTTATTGAGGCATATTTCATACCCCAAATTCTGAATTCAATGACTCACAGTTTTGTAACCATTTTACCTGCCCTCATACTTGTATACTTGCCACTGTAAGGAATATTGTAAATATTGACAATGATAGCCAAGGTGGACACGAGTGATTTTAGTTTCACAAGTGACACAATAGACAATTCAGACTTTATACCTGAAAAGTTGTTGGTCCTCAAACCAAAAACCCACACATCAGGCCTACTTTTACTAATTGAAAAAATATATTTGTGTCTGGTGGAAGCAAAATTTCCCTCAAAATTTCCTCCGGCCCCCTACCCGGCATTAATAATGACAATGTCCTAACTGAAACGTGGAATATTGACCTTACATATTGCATATAAATATATTACGTTATGCGTTTTTAAATATCACAGTATACGATATCAGTGAATTCACCCATATTTTTACAGGCATTTTCATCCAAATAAGTTTAAAATGCATAATATTAATTAGTTATGCATGAAATCTAGGTGCAGCATCTCAACATGCTGCGAGTAGTCGAAATATTTTAGACGCACGTTAAATACACGATATCACGTCATCTGACGGCATCACAACTATTTGGAGAATATTCTTCATCCGGCACAGCTGGCCCTGCCTGCCAATTAGTGCAAAAATATATTAACCTATATAGGATATAAATAAAACTATATATAAAAGAAAATTCTAATATATAACAATGTTAATAAACCAAAACTTTTCCCAACGACCACACCCAATTTCTTAACTCTCCCGACGTTTCCTTGAACTAACATGAGAGAGTTATGTTTGACGTAACTCTCTAGAGTTATAGCGTGCGTCCAAACAGGAAATAGAGAGGTTAAGATACCCTGATTCCGGTGTACGGGTACGAGTATCGTGATTTTGTTTACCAATTTTTGCTGATGTCAGCATACCCGTTTCCCCGCGGTAAACCATGGTCTACACGTAAAAGACAAATGGGTACAGGTGTTTTCTGTTTACTATTTGTGGGCCGTTTAAATAGTAAAAAACTTCAACATCTTACCCAAATAAATAATGCACATATGCTCATCAAAGTTTTCAACTCAAACTATGGCGAACCTCAACAGCGAAAGTTACCATTCTCTCATTGGTTTTCTCACGGCGGAATATCTTGGATTTCTTAAGTTACAAGTCGTTCCCTGATTTACGGGTACGGGTATGTGTATATCACCCGTACCCGTAAACCGGGGTATCTTAACCTCTCTAATAGTACAACTTGACTCGGTCAAAACAATGAGATGCTTGCATCAGAAGGGTCAAAGTACCCCTAGAAGCATGTTTTGACTTGTATTTGGCAATAAATACGGCAAGCATAGTTGCAAGAAAATTAAGAAAATTGAATCTTTCAGCAATTCAGGTTTTGGGAATACTTTCCCAGATCAGCCAATAGGGCATTACATTGGAAAGATTTTCTGGTTGTATCTGATATGTATCTGAATGCTGGTCTTGCTAGATAATCCAAGTGAGCATGTATATTTATATAAACATTTACATATATAGATGAACTTGGTACTATTAGTTTCTACTATAGCGTGAAATGTTAAAGCTGACATTGAGAAAAAGTAAAATTTACAAAAATTTACTAATATGTGGAAGTTTTTTTCAAAAAACTGACATAACTCTCTTCATTGGCACAATTATCATAAAAAATGATAACTCTCTAACATCTTCATAATGTTAACGAGAGGGAGTTACGTCAAACATAAACAGAAATTGGGTGTGGTCGTTGGAAAAAAAGTTGTTTTTTTATTTTTGATGAAGTGTACAAAGATTTTCAGAGTAATATACCCCTCGCAAAGCAGTGTAAAATGACCTTTTGGTGTGTTAGTTTACGCTCATAATGTAGATTTACACCAAGTTGGTGTCCACGCAGAGGCAAGATGATTTACACCAAAGCAGTGTAAGACCTTAACCGGGGGTGTTAGTTTGCGCTCATTGTATAGACTTACACCAAGTGGTACGGGAAAAGACAAATATGCACTATTTTATATTTATACTATTTTATATTTATACTTGAGAACTGGGTAGCATAGTTCATAAAACAGCCAGTCGTCAAGTTACATGCGTCTCATATTACACGATGCTCCCTAATTGATTCTCGGTCTGAAACGGCAAATTCGCTTTACTAAATTTTACATATGTTACATTTTATATCCATATGGGTACAAGAAAACCATTTTACTTAATTACAATCGGTTAGCTTTGCAGATATCACTTTTTAAGTTCACTTTTGAACGATGCTCACCACAAAACTGTAAATAAAGCTGTATCTCGCTGGCTATTTTAGGACAGAAAGTGAGAATCGTTGGAAAATCATAGTCTTATCTTAATCAGTTTGTTACGAAAACTTGTAAAATTGTGCTATGTTATAAAAACGCACAGGGTGAATTTGTTTATGGCGTGTGAAGCCCATGAAAATATAGTTGAGATTGGCGTAGTGAGAATCGTTTGTATATTGATCTCATTGTCACATACGCGCTTAATTATGCTAACAAGATGGCTCAGTTGTCAATGTTCTGGATAGAGAGCCACAATACCACTACCATATACATGAAATTCAATGAATTGTTACTAAAATGTAGCACTATATATACAAGATTTTTAAACTGATGTTAGCTATTTCTTAACACAAGCATACCCAGACAATGTCTTATACAGTACGTACGCGAAAATAATCTGTGTGCAACAAAGTTGCTAAAGGGGTTGAAGTTGAATTTGAATTAAGTTGCATTTGGCTTCCTTCACTAATTGGAATAATGTAATCCTTGCAACTTCTGTTGATGCTAATTTAGAAGAATTCCTCAGCCACGAATATATGATCAACGATTTCTTTCCCTCAAAAATGTTAGATTTCACAACAATGACAAATTTTTATGACAGCTAAGTTAAAGAAGATGATTTGTGCGAGAAATTGTGCATATAAACAAGGAAAATCTGATCGGTTTAGACTCTTGAGAAATCGCATGAAACAAGAAATCCGTTTTGCAAAAGAAAAATATTATAAGGAAAATATATCTGCAAATTGTGATAAAAACAACCCGAAGTGGTGGAATACAATTAATATACTTACGGAAGAAACAAATCATCTAATACTTTCTTGACCAATCCTGATCGAGTCTCAATCCGTAATGAATGACAAGACACTGCAAATTATATCAACAGTTTCTTCGCAAGTTTAACAAGGATTTCCCAGCTGTTCATGATAAGTGGATGGCGCCGGCGTATGGCGAAATGGAACTTTTACCTACAGTCTCAAAGGAGTCCGTAGTGAACAAACTAAAAAATTTAAAAACTAACAAAGCACTTGGCTTAAATGACCCAAATCAATGATAAATCTGATTTTAAAGATATTTGCTGAGTTTTTTGCAACACCCCTGATCCCAAAATGTATACCTTGCATAAGTGTTGATGAATTACGTCCTATTGCACTTACTAGTATTATATCAAAGCTTCAATAGTCATACGTAGTTAACTGGCTGAATGAGGATATTGCTGGAAAAATTACGGATGCACAGTATGGTGGGCAATCAGGATCGTTTCCAGTTTTAGCCCTTATATACCTGGTTCACAAATGGCATATGGCCCTAGATACTCCAGACTTTGTAATCAGGATAACATTTCTAGACTTCCGCAAAGCCTATGATCTTATTGATCATAACATTCTGTTGGATAATTGTTGTAAAATTGGCATTCGTCCTGCATTGGTCACATGGCTCGCTTCATATCTGAGTGACAGAATCCAGGTTAATTACTAAATTTGTATCTGAGTTATCTGATAGACTTGCATGCCGTCCATGGGAGAGCACCCCAAGGTAGCAGAATAGGGCCGGTTGCATTTATTGTTCATATAAATGGTCTACCCTTAGTATTGAAACAACCGGAAACATATTATGGTGATGTGTGTCTGAAGTTAGCGAAGATTCTGATGATGATGTAACAATATTTATGGATGACACAACAATCTCTGAAATTATCGATATCAAAAAACATATACCAGGCAATGCCATTGGGAATGCTGAAAGAAATATGACGGAAGTCATTTTAAGAAGAACCAAAACGGCTATACCATTAACAAGAATTGAGAACAATATAATTGAAAGGTTTAGTTCGTATAAGTTATTGGGACTCTGGATAGACGATAATATGAAGTGGAAGACAAATATGGGGAAGATAATCGAAAAAGCTGTGAAATGTCTATTCCTCCGTTAAAGTATTAAATTCCTATGGTGCAAGTTTGGGCGATATGAAAGAGTTTTATATAACAGTAATTAGACTAACGCTTGAATACGGGGCCCAAGTATGGAATGGAGGAACAAAGTAATGAAATCGAACGAATACAAAAACGAGCACATAAAATAATCTATAAAGAATATGATTATAATAAAGTTGGAGAAACGGCGGAACCGAATGTGCATTGAATTAATAAAGGAAATGTCCATAAACTATACACAATCTATTACCTAAGAAAGTTCACGAAATCAGGGAAAGGGACACGAGAATGAACAATCAAATGTATTATAATTTTATGGGGAAAACTCAACGTTTTTAAAAGTAGTCCAATTAGCTATGCCGTTAACAGATATAACGAAACATGCATTGTCTGGGTATAGTGGTGGATTTTTACTTGTATAGTTATAAGCGTACACATTGTATTTTTATTTATAATATAGCATTTGTAAATTCTGAACGCTGATTGACTAAGAGCCGTGTTGATATAACTCAATGTCAACACGGGAGATTTTCCGCCGCTTGTAAACACGGAAATGTTTCTTATCCTTCGGGCTTTTGACATTGCTATATTATAAAAAAATATAAAACATTTTTTCCGTATTGATATATAGTTATATCAACACTCGTGGAAGTTGGGAAAACTCAAAATTGTATGAAAACACTCCGCCCTTTGGGCGTCGTGTTTCCATACAATTTCTCGTTTTCCCAATTCCACTTGTGTTGATATAACTGTATATCAACACGGAAAATGTTTTATATTTGTTAAATATTAAATGTTCAAAAGTTTTTGTATAGGTATAATCGCATGAAATTCCTTTAATCATACTTGTAAAATAATACTTAATATGATGTTTGTGATGTTACTCTGAGTGTATATCCACACCGGGCGAGCTTGAAAAATATGCCCGGCCACAGTGGGAATCGAACCTACGACCTTTGGAATACTAGCCCAATATACTCTGTATACCCCGGAATCTACCGGAACATCATAATATTTTCCGATGGTTGGATCTTTCCCATTTTGACGGTAACAAACAATAACTCTATACTGGAAGTTTTATATGTTGTTCATAACATTATTATGAGTGTTCACCAAAAATTTTGAATCAATATGATTAATCGGCTCCTGAGTTACAGGCTTACAACGTCTTGAAAAATAAAAGTGCTGACATCAGCATTATTTTCGAACGCCTTCAGAACTGTGTTACACACAAAATTTAGTTAAAACTTATTGGTTAAGGTTAAGACTTTTTACCTGATATAAACAAGAATTTAAACATCTTGGCTCAAACTTGCCTTTACCATTTGATTTTTGAATAAATGCTTGATGGTATAGGTCCATTTTAACTAAATTTTGTGTATAACACAGTTCTGAAAGCGTTCGAAAATAATGCTGACGTCAGCACTTTTATTTTTCAAGACGCTGTAACTGAGGAGGAATTAATCATATTGATTCAAAATTTTTGGCGAACACTCGTAATAATGATATAAACAACATATAAAACTTCCAGTATAGAGTTATTGTTTGTTACTTATCAGGCGTCCATGTTTATAAACAGTCGCATGGCTACCATGCATCGGAAAATATTGTGATATTCTGTGATATTCCGGCATATTCCGTGATATTCCAGCATATTCTGTGATATTCCGCCAAATTCCGGCATTCCGGGTTTTCACAACGACCCTTAAAATACGACTAAAAAAGAATACCAATTAGGGTGAACAATTATATTATCATACTAATTAGGATGAACAATTATATAAAGAATATTAATGAAAATGAGTTTTATCAGATACAGTCATTACACGTGAAATATATAATGGCTTACATGATTTGCCACAAGGTTGATGAATTTTAATGAGTATTCTAAATATATATATATTCTACTTAGTAATCATATATTTATATTTTTGTAATAGATTTAGTTATGTGAATACCCAGCGACGCATTATAATAAAGTTATATTATCTCATATATAACTGGAGTGGAGTCATGTTTTCAGAAGTAGCTCTATTTGGAAATAGACACGTCCATTGAAGTGCTATTTATACACTAGATAAAATCAATCATAACAACTGCATAGAGGATTTTGCCTTTATATCTGCTCTGAGACTGCTCACTACTGTCTGCCTGTCTTTGACCAGAATGTCACCTGCATCAGGCTGCTGAAGTGCCAGTATATTGTCAACTTTGTCAGTCACTCATGTCATCTTTTCTTCCGTCTGTTTTCCTTTTCTCTGTCTGTCCTCTTTCAAACTTTCGTTACCTATTCTCCTGTGAGACTTTTGACCTTTTATGGTTTTCCCCTCCATTTTTTCTGCCAACCTCAAAAATTTTCTGGGACCAATGGTCCCACGTTCCGCCATGTTATGCGGTCCAAGTATGTGTGTTGTTTTTCGTTGCTTACACATGTGAAAGAAGCGCCCATAGCTGACGTCCATCCCACGGAGTAACCCCAACGCAGTTATGACGCCAGCCTCCCTAACCACCGGGACTCCAATAATAGTCGATGACTGGTTGCATGGGAGGACGTGCACCAAGACCCACACTTATCACGCGTATTGATGACACCTTTATCTTTGGCCAGTCACATATATAATGCTTTTTGGTTCGTATTTAACTACGTACTACAAGCGTCTCAGCGGATTGTGGTGTACGTAATGTGAATAGTATTGACTATTGCGCATGTCTGTATACAAATTGTGAAATAGCTTTTATCGTACATATTTTCAATATAATATGGCGTTGCATATATCAATTACACTGAGTCACTGCTACACTATATCTATGCTCCTGCATCTATATACCAGAAACAAAAATCACTTCAAGGATGACCACACAAGTGCTTAGAGTTGAAACATGAAAACATTGAAATATGAAACCATATATCAATTTTCCCAATTAAGGAAATGAGTTCGGTATAAAATACTTGATTGGTACGCAAAAAACCTTTTCCATTCGCAGCATATGAATTATTGTTACAATTCAATGTAGGTTCTGATTGTTCCGATTCAGCCATTCAAGGCATGCAACTAGTTCCATATCCTGCAGGTAATCCTGATTAAATTCGACTAAAATACAGGATCATAAAACTTGGCACAAACCGTTCAAGATTTATAAGACAGGATCTTGAATAAACACGCAGTTGGTCTCATTGCAACATGATATGAGGCCCAATAACTACCGAATGAACAATACGAACGTGATTGGTTAAACACGAAAATCAGTTCTCCTAGTATTAAAACATGCCGAGCATATTTAATTGATCCACGGATGAAACCTTTTCAAGATCAATATAACAGGTTATTAAGTGCTGCGTCGCAGTATATTAAAATTCAATACAGAATCTGATAGGTCAGATTCAGAAATGTACTCTATCTTTTAAAATTGCCTATTGGCGACGGAATGACAAAATATTCGGTGTTTCATCAATTCCCAAATAAACAATACCGCGTGTGATTAATTTAAACATGGAAAAGAGTTCTTGGTGTAAAATACTTGATTGTTCCGCACATGAAACCTTTTGCGTTGGCATTATGTTAATTATTGTTAAAATTCAATGTAGATTCTGATTATTCAGATTCAGCCATTCAAGGCATGCAATTGATACAACCGTATTATTAACACAGGATCATAAACAAACCCTTCAAGATTTATAACACAGGATGTTGAATAAACACGCCTCGAAACATGCAGTTGGTCTCATTGCAACATGATATGAGGCCCAATAACTACCGATGAACAATACGAACGTGATTGGTTAAACACGGAAATCAGTTCTTGGCAGTAAACACAGAGCATATTTGATTGGTCCGTGAATGAAACCTTTTCATGAAAATTAATATAACAGGTTATTAAGTGCTGCGTCGCAGTATATTAAAATTCAATATAGAATCTTATTGGTCAGATTACAAACTGTATTCCATCTTTTAAAACAGCCTATTGGCGAGGGCATGAAAAGATTTTGGTGTTTCGTGTTGATTTGATTATTAAATGATAAATTGGATTTCTCGACACTTGTCATTGTAGTGAACCTGTGACCATGTACAGATCACAGACAAAATGAATAATATTTAAAATATTTTCTACAATGAACTTCATATCCACGGGATTCGTATGTTAAAGCGTTAATAATGTGGAAAACGATATTCTACACTTACATTGCGTGTGTACCATGTTGCTATCTGTGACTTTACAGTAGCCTACATTATGTATTTGGTCGGAATGGTCACCCTAGTGAATTTCTCTGGTTGGTGAATTTAGCTGTTTGGTCCTGGTCTTAATTGTTCATATCGCTGGTTATAAGGTACAGACACACATTATATATCTAGTAATCGGTAAAACTTTGCTATATTAAATGAGCGCCGCACATGCACTTCCCGCCAAAAAGCATGCCATACAAAAAGCGCGCGTTATTATTCAAATCTCTTGCATATCTTGTATATATATGTGATGAAATGGAAATAATGAATATATGAAATAGTATGTCTTCCAATTGAATGAAAGGCTTTATTTATCTGAGGGTAAGCACTTGGCAGTTTAGGCCACAACTCAATTTAATGGATCAATTTGCTATAAGATTAATACTCTTTTGGTTATTACACCAAGGGTTCATATTTCTTGATACTCAATTAAATAAAACACCAGACAACAGACATATAAAGGCATGCCATATGGGAGGAAACAGTATTGACAGGTGAAAATTACAAGCTGTTGACAGCCTTATTTGAAACAACCTAGGTGATTGGCTAAAAACGGAAATCAGTTCTTGATATTTTAATTTGATTGGTCCATGCATGAAACCTTTTCAAGACTAAAACAACACTGCGTAATTCTGTAATCCTATTGGTCCAGAAGTGAACTGCTTTTCTAGCGTGAAAGGTCAAACTTGTAATGTCTGGTTCTTAATGATTCTTGTCTGGTTTGTTTTGATTCACTGTTGTTATTAAATACTATAACTCCGGATCTTATTATAGAGTAATGCTTAAATAATGGTACTAGATTCTGGCTTTCCATTACATAACCAAAGTACTGCTCAAAAGTCTTATCATCATCAGGCAATTAATTTGCATTATAAACCCATATCTCTAAGTTCTTCTTCAGAAACATCACATTTGTGGTCTTTGAAACCACTGTTCTTAGGTAGGTAATACAGTTCATTCAGTCAAACCATGCTGGGCAGATTTCTCAGATGCTGGTCCTGGGGTCGGATGCAACAACTTTGAAGTGCAGTTCAGAGATGAGGAAATGGCAATTTTGCATAACAGCGACTACCGTATCAGGCTGCGTTCATCTCACGATAATTCTTCAGACAATGAAGCCAAAAGAACTAACAGTGCGATCGGGGACAGCATAGTGGATGTTTCTACGCTAGCATGGAACCAGTACAAACGGTTTGATGGACTGAGCGATGACGAGACTAGCAAGTTAACAGTTAAGGTAATTGTAATATGTATGTATGCAGATGAGATAGATGGGGAGCCACTCACATGGATATGCTATCATTGTTACCATTATTATTATTACTATTATTATTAATAAGGAGTTTGAGGAACACAAATTGGCACAAATGCAGAAGAATGCATGGTACTGCGCAGAGGAGATTAAAAAACGGATTGACGGAGCACCCGTTTTAATGAATATATCAAGTCCTATGTCACACCAAAGGACAGCATCTTCTTCTTCAACAAAAGATACCTCAAGTAGTGTCAGAGTGCAACCTCAGCCACAGGAAAGCAAAATGTGCCAGGGTATCACTATATAACCAAGATTATGACCTTCCTTGAGAGGCACTACCGCATTGGCGAGCTCCATATGGAATACGTCAAAGAAGGGCTGCGAAGAGAAAGGAGAGATTTGTGACAGATGCCAAGAGATACGTTGGGTGGGGCTGAGGTTCTCTAGGGTTACAGCAACTTACCCGGACCCAGAAAATCCTGGCCACTACATGAACATGTTCGAGATACCGACTACCACAAATGATGAACAACGGCAGGTTGATGATTTCACCCCGAGAGCCAATTTAAAGTGACTTTTCAAAGACAATGCCATTTCGTCTGGCGATAGTGAGAAGGTGAAAGAGGCAGCGAGTCGGTATTTTGTTGAGGAGAAACATGTGCTAGGATAAATCAGATATCTTGAAGAACTGCAAGTTGTGTCTGCGATAAGAGAGGAAGACTGAAAGAAAAAGCATACAGCTGATAATAACAAGGTGTATAAAGATTATGACTGGGAAAATATAACAACTTCTGGGAAGCTTGGCCACACTAAAGGAGCTGGAGAAGTACATCAAGGAGCACAATTTATCTTTCATGGGGAAGAAAGATAAGGTCAAACGAATCAGGTCTGACTTCTACATCAACAGATCTGCAAATACAGACCCAGAGGATCATGATGTTTCAGGCTCATCAGAAGATGAAACATCAGTTGAATCTACTTATATTGACAAACTATAGCCCAGACCGCTGCTGGACGTTCTTTATTAAAACCATGCATGCACTTTATAAACGCTGACAGAAATCCATAACAAGTATATATTATGCTGACTATCACTTAAGACTCTTGTAGACTGTACTGGATTCTATTTCAGAACCATCCTCAGAGATACGAAAAAATAACTAGTTTTTCTGTACTGGATTGTTTGAGCTGTTAGGTATTTTACTCACTGCATGGTTGCAAACTGATTTGGGAATTTATTACTTTTATACAAGTTAAGTGGCGACTTAAGGTAATCCTAGAGTTATTCATGTTCCGGTTTGTACCCCTTGGATTGCGGATTCTGGGGGGCGTTGAAAATTTCAATATATAATTGGGGGGGGGGCGGCATCGAAAATTTACTGTAAAAATATGAGCTTTTTTCAAGAAATCT